CTCTTCACGGCAGAGGATCAACAGGTGAGTGGAGTGGAGTGGAGTGGGCGCTTATCAATGCGAAAGCTTTTTAAAGTTACAATTTATCAGCGTTCGCGCGGCAAGTTTGCTTTTGAAGTCATTATTTAAAACTTTTCCTTCACCTTTTCTCTGTGTCTCTCCCATTTTTTGTTGCGCTCGCAGTCCGATATCTGTGCGTCTGCCTTGTCTGAGGTGATACCCGCCGTGCTGGAAGGTTCCGACGGTTGTCTACTAACGATTGGTTATCCGAATTCCGGTAAGTTTCGTTTTATTGTTGTCTTATCACACTCTTTTCTTTTTTCTTTATTTATTTCCTATGGGAAATGTGCAATAAATTTTACATTAATCGTAATCTCCGCATGCTTATCGCACATTTTTCTTACTTTTCCTAGCGCCATATGGCTGTGCATTGTCTTTAACGCTTTCGTTCCGTTTTTCTTTCGTTTTTTACGTTTTTTTTTTTTATTTCGCAGGTCAACCGAAAACGATGTTGGGTGGCGTGAATCCGCCCACCGAATTAGGTGCTATCCCTTGCGCCATTTCCTGGCTGTACAAGGGCATTAATGAGCGTCGTCAGAAGAGTGGCGCGCGGTTTTCGGTGCGCGTCAGTGCGCTTGGTGTCAGCGCCACGAAACCGGACTCCAGCTCGAAGGACTTGTTGGCGGCGCATGCGACTGGTGAGTAAGATTAGTGGAGTTGTTTAAAGTTTTAAAATGCAAGGTGAGATGTTAAGTCTACTGCTGTCTGTTTGGCTTGCAATGACATTAGGGTTGTTTCAAACTTAAGTTTTTCGAGTTAAAGGACACCGTCAAAGTATGCAACATCTAAGCTCTTTTACCAGCACATGCATAGAAGATTTATTGAAAAAAATAAGTTTCAAATCTGAAGGTGAAGGTCACCTGGAATTCAAATATTGTGCTCACTTCTTAGAAGGAGAGCTTTAAATTGTTCCTTGCGCTGCAAAAGAAGCGATATTGGCTAGAAGATTCTATCTTTCTCCTTAACTAGTCGACAGTCTATATAAAATCATAATGAGCCCAATAATGCTGTGTGGAGATATTGCCTTAGAGAGGAGCAGTCAAACCGAGTGAGAGTTTGAGATGCTTTTATGCCAACTTTTTTCCGAATTTGTTTGACAGGTTTGTTCCATGGACCACCGGGTATTTATCCCCCTGATGAGTTCAGTCTTTAATCTGTATTTTAGGAGGACATGAGGAGGCCACGAACCATTCCGTCCCTTTCCTAACCAGTTCGTCGGCAATGCAGTCAACTTTGCACGTTGCTCCTTGAGAATTTGGAGGCTTAATAGCAGCTATATACATAAAGATAGACCGTTCTGGAAGGGTGGCAGCTTTGATCCACCAAGTGGCTTCCATATTGGTTTTAGCTCCGGCTGAAAATCTTTGAATCCTGTTGCATACTCTTTCGTTTAGCCCATGAGCACTTGTTACCGGTTTTACGCTGTCTACCAATACCTGAAAGTCAAGGTTTTGCAGATGAGTAATAGAGTTTTCCAATCGCATTCCACAAATTGCTTTATTTATTTACTGGCCTTTAAACATTTCTTCTTTTGAATGCAACTATTCCACAATTCTTTGACTTTATTCTCGTTTTTTTTCTTTCTTCTTCTCCATATACCCTCACAAATTTACACAACAGAATCCGATGACTCGCCAGGCGTATACTTGCGTGATGACTTCCTTGGCGGACCCACCGAACTGCGTGCCCCCACCGCTGAACGTGCCGCATTGTTCCTAGACGCTGCACTCGCAGGACGGCCACAAGGTGGACTTGAGCCAGCCATGATTTTCACACTACACGTCTACCAGTACAGTTTATCGCGCAAAGGAGGAGGTGAGTACTTATTCAGACACAAAACTGCTCAATAAACTCACGATAAAGTAATTGGAATTCCAATAATGCAATACCAATGCAGACTCACACACACACACACAAACACACACTAAGCACACACAGCACTGTAGACATTTCATGCTAAAATTTTAATGCACTTATTTTCATTCGAATGCACACAATTCGCACAGTGGCTGGAGGACGAAGTCGTTTACATCTCATCGATTTGGGTGGCTGTGCCAACCGCAATGGTGGACTGCCACTCTCCGGCATTGGCAACATACTATTGGCCATATTGAGTGGACAACGCCATCCGCCGAACAAGGATCATCCATTGACGCCGCTGTTGAAAGATTGTCTGGCGCCGTTGACGTGTCATGTCGCCATAATGGCGCACGTAATGCACACACAGGTGAGTTAACGGGAGTGGTATTTATTGAAGATGTATGTCATTGCGAGTGTGAATATGTGTAATAAGGGGCTCGTGGCTGGGTAATTGCCATGCTCTTAAGCGGTATTTTCGAGCTGCACTTCAGCTCAACATTCACAATAGTCATTGTTGTTTCTAGGCTTAATTGGACAACAATTCCATAATGGCTTTGACTGCTATTCTTCATTCAATGACGATGTGCACACATATTTACATACTTGCAAACATATCGACGGCAACGCTTGACTGAGTGGTTGGTCAATTATTGCACATTCATAAAATCGCACTCGTCTGATGCCCGGCATTGTGTCTTGTGTCACAATGAGAATGACAAATGACTTTCAAATTAAAATTTTTTACTAATGTGGTTGTTGTTATTGTTTCTTTTTGCATTTGCTCTTTTCTTCTTGTACGCTTTGTTTGTATATTTAGTCGCATACGGATGCCCTGACGACGATACAACTGGCCTCACGCATACATCGAATGCGACGACGTAAACATCGTTTTCCCATGCCAAGTGACAAAACGGGTGTAGGAGGAATGGCGGCGGCGGGCGTTAATGGAGGTAAGTACTTTGCGTATTGCATCACTTTTGAAGAGTGACCAACCAGTGGCTGGTGGAGTTACATAAATGCGCAAATCACTGGAGTTAAAGTGTCGACCCAGACGCACTTTTGTGTCAGCAGTGTTAGCCTTAGTAATTCCTATGTTTAAGGGGACATGTGTCTCCCTGCTAGCGGTGTTGCACTTGAAAGGTAGGGCTATTGGTTTTTTGATGACGCTGTGGTAGATATATGTAACGCTCGCTGGTTGCAATACACCAGACCGTACCAACTTATAAGCAACAAAAAAAAGGTTTGCCGTACAACCCCGAGTCTAAAGAATTTTTGAAAGGTAATTTCGAAGTTTTTTTTTTTTTGTGGAACCTAAGGGTCGTCTTATTCTATTTTTCGGTGACACCCACATTCTGCAATACAACATTTATTTTTTTTTTTAATAATGATCTCTGTGGTTGAAAAAAATTTTCAGAATTCATACTGTGTAGGCCATTTTGAATTTTTTAAGTCTGATATCGTTTTCGTAATCTTCAATCTCAAAAACATCTAAGGAGCGTATTTTAAAGGGATGTGGTAATTTTTTTGCAAGTGATATTGAGTAGGCCATTTTGAATTTATAATATCTGATAAAAACTTACAGTTCGTAACCTCAAAAATACCCACGAAACAAGTTTTCCTCAAATTCCACACAATTAAAAAAAAATAATTTCCAAAATTAATTAACCGGGGTCAATTAAGCGGGAATACTGTAACAGCATTTGCGCTAGCTGAGATAACTTTTTTTCGTTTGCTATTCCAAACTCTCCACGAATTTCTGACTATTTGCACTTTTTTTTGCGCACTTAGGACATCAATCGACCGGCTCATCGGCTGGTTCGGGCGCAGATCCTTCCAGCTCGGAGCTGTCTGCAGACACCGTCATTTACATGGGACCGAGTGACGATGCGACGGATGGCGAACATCCGCCAGTGTATTTGCCCTCGCTGAGTAGTGGCGACAATCGTTGTGTGATGAGCAAGGCGTTGAAGGGCAGCGGCCTGGAGAAGCAGCAACAGTCGCCGGCGAAAAGTAGTGCAGCAAGCACGCTGAAGAAGTCAGCAGCACAAAAAGGTAAGCGCGCAGTTAGAGCTGTGGTCACCCATTTTATTTTTATTTCACTCTTTCATATTCGTCTTGTGGCCTTTTCTGTATTTCACCCACTTTCCTTCTTTACTCATTGTCTCATAGCAGTGCCACAAAGTCCCACCATAAATGCGTCTAGTCGCGCAGGCAGCCTAAAACGCGGTCACGTCAATAGTCCAACGCCAGCCCAACATGTGCAACAACAACAACAGCCTCAAGCGACTGCGGTCAATGCCGACCAGCAGCATCAGCAGCAGCAACAGTTCTTCTCACCCGTTCACAGCGTGAAATCACTTTCGCACTCAGCCTCCTCACCCAAAATAGTTGCGGGCAGTTTGCGTCATTCCGGCATGGCAGGCATGATGTGCTCGAAGGGTTCGAATGTGCCATCACCTAAAGGCTCACCGCTGCGGCGTCCAGGCGTCGGCGCCAATGTTGTGTCCGCCGCCGCCGCTGGCGACTCCCTAGACTGCCCCGGCAGTCCGATGCGCAAGATAAGCGAAGAGCAGTGGATTGATGGACCGCGTGTGTCGCGCGCCAAGGTAGCTGAGGCGCGTCATCTGCTGCGCGAAGTGAATCATGTGAAACAGTGCGAGACATGGATTGATGGCCCCAAGTCGCAGTCGACACGTTCACTGACCGCCGGCAATCTGCCTACAGCACCCTCGCAGGTGCAAGGCTACGGCTTCATGGACTCGCATAAGAAGTCCATGATACGGCAGTGGGTAGAGAATCAGACTTCGCAAGTCTTCCAAACCACATCGGCAGCGTCTTCGCCCACACACGGCGCCGGCAATGCGGCACATCGCGACCAACAAGCGCAGCATCTGCGCAACATTACCTTCCACATGTCACAGCTGAAGCAGAAGTCGCTCGATGCACCAGAGGATTTGTATGCGACGAGCACCAGACAATTGCAACACCAACAACATGCTGTGCAGCATCCAACGTTGCAGCAACAACATTCGCTACCCCTCGAACAGCAGCAATTCATGCTATGCGCCAGCGAAGCGGAGTTGGCACATGCCATTGCCATGGGTCTTTCCACAGCTGTGAGCACAACGAACGCCTCGGCGCCCGCAGAGATACGTGGCTCCCAGCCAGCGTATCATCAACGACAGTCCAGCGCCACAGGCTCGCTCGGACTCACCCAGCAGACGACAACAAAAGATGAGACTGATTTACAATCGACGCATTCACACACAGGTTATGGCATCATTTCACAGCAGCTACTCGTTGGAGGTGGCAACCCGGCAGCAACGATGTCGGAGCATGGCGTTGGCGTGGGTGCGAGTGCGAGTGGACACCAAAGCGATCGGCAAGCAGACTGTGATGAGGACCAGGACAGCGGACCGTCGGAGGTGCCGCCAGCGTTGCCGCTCATCGAGCCGTTGGGTTCGCGTGAAATTTCGCACGAAAGTCTGCATCGCATACTGTCGCGACATGTTTCGCGTGAATCACTCTACCAGCAGCAACAACGTGAGCAACAGCAACAGGAATTGCGACGACAAGAGGAACTGCAACATAGTGCGCCCTCGAGGCAGTCATCGCATCACTACTCCCAACACAACATGGGCATGTCCGATTGTGGACAGCAGGTGACAGAGGAGGAGATAGCGCGCACAATGGGCGGGTGAGAAGCGGAAATATAGCGAATGAAAACTAGCTGTTATACTCGTATAAAAAATTAATATTTTTCTTCTGCTCTTTTTTCTTTGTTGTTTCTTTTTAGCGAGCATCCTTTGGCGGCACTAAGTCACGTTGACAACATGTCCATTGTGTCGAGCTTCAATATGGCCGGAGATGCGTTTAGCGATTGTGCGATGGGTGAAAGAACGAGGTAAGCTAGGGAAAATGCTTGCTCTTTAGAATGTTTGTGATTTTTTTCCTCCGTTTAGAAACCAATTCGATCAATTAGCGCGTCTACGTGAGATCTTCACCTCACAGCTGGCCATGGCCGAAGTGACGCCCGTCTTCCGCAGCGGCTGCGATGTGGGCAGCGTCTATAGTGAACCCGCCTATCGTTTCAATACGGGGCCGGGTAGCGTGTGCAGTGAGCCGCCATATAGGCCACCAAGTCCGAGGTGAGTACATACTTAGTAAAAGGGAAAAATTTTAACGGAAGCAGGGTTGCCACCTGCATAAAAAATTGAGAGGAGTCAAATAAAATCGAATTTATGGAAACATCAATCAAATAGTAATTTCGAACGATTAAGTTTAGAAATAGTTTTAAATAGAGTTGCCACATGGTAAAAATGTCAAAAAAATTTAATTTTACAATCGATGTATCAAACGAAAGGCTTTTGAGAATATAGTACTTAAAAGTAAACAGAAGCTACCGTTTTTTTTTCAAAACAGACATTTCAAAACATGTATTTGTAAACATGTATTTGATAAAATTTTAAGATAGAGTTGACAGCTGTCAAAACTATTTTTACATAAAATATGACAACTTGCACATCGAACAAGTGGTATTTGGTGCAGCAAGTTTACGGAAATTGTTCTAAATAGAGTTGCCAACTGTCTTACAAAAGTAAAACTAAATATATCACTCAAATTAAGTAAATAGATATTAACAATTGAATGCCGAAAGAAACTCGTAAAAGAAATTTGTACATGTATGTATTTTCTTAGGCAGGGATAGGTGGCAACCCTAATTAAAAAAAAAAAAACGATAAATACCATATTTAATGTATGTTAAATATATCCAAATAAATTGAATATTTTACAACTTTTACTAGAGCGTAATTTTAACAAAAGCATGCAAAAAAGAAATAGAGTGAAATTACCTAAGGTTAATAAGAAAATTTAGAATTCTAAAAGTCAGTAGAAACCAAATATGAATCTTGCACTTTTGAGCACAAATTTTAACCTAATATATTTTAAGGGTTACTACCTTTAGGCAAAGTTTTTAGTTCAGCTTCGAATACCGAGAATTTTAAAGTCCGTTTATGTCTTTTCTCCGCATTCCATTCTCTAATCAATTCTTGATTGCCTTTAAGTAAAACAAAACCAAAAATAAATATGTAAAACTACTTAAAGCTTGCTACTAAGTATTAACTAACTGAGAAAATCCATTTCTTCCCCTCTACGCTCCCTCTTTCAGACAACCTTCGCGCAGCCCCAGCCAAGGCAGTTTGCCCAGCCTGAATGGCATCATGCAAATTGCCGGCATGGAGCAATATGCCTCCCTACGTCATCCTGATGGTGCTTCCGATCCCAATTTGCCAAAAGTAGAGAAACCCTTCGTGTTGGAACACGAGGATATCTGCGAAGTAGATGAAAAATCGGCGTTACTCTCACCCTCGAAGCGACCCTCACTCGAAAAGGAGCATCTACCGGGCGATGGCGGCGCTGCCATGCCAGCGACCTCCCAAACACAGTTACCACTACTACCACTAAATACCACCTGCGAGGCCTACGACAGCGGACACGATTCGTCAACACCACGTACTTCCAAACATTCGGGTATTTCACGTCGCGCCGAAAGCGGCTACCATAGCGTAGCGACAGCGAGAGATAGCGACGAGAGCAGCTTTACGTCAGGTCTCTCGAAAGAGCCTCACAATCGCATAACTATGGTGAAGAAGAACAAGCGCCAAGACAAGGGGCTGTGCAATTGGCTAATGAATCCGTTCACCTGCACCTATCCGGAGACTGAGGGTGAGATCAGTGACTTTTGAAGAATGAAGTAAGCGGAGAAATTGGAATGAAAGTCGAATTTATAAAGTGAAAACAGAGGTAAATCAGTTTATGGAAATAAGGAATGAAAAATAACGAAGCTTCAAAATTAGAAAAATAAAAAGTGCGCCAACCCACCAAGAAATTTTTGCGCGCAGCTACATAAATATTTAAACATACATATAGAAACAATAAAATATGTAAAAGTATGCCAAATTTTTACTTTAATATTAATAAATATTAGTGTAATTTTTGTTTTCTGGGAGAGAACCGACGCCAATCTTTTTATGTGGCAGTTCAAATGGCGACTGAATTTTTTAAATGGAAATTATCAAAAAGAAAACGAGAAATATTTTTAGGTTAATATCAGATGATTGTCAAAAAAATGCAGCGATGTAGAGAAAGCATTTTTAAAGTGAAATCTCATTTATAATACTTAACGTATGTGTTCTAAAGCACGAGCTTACTGCATGTGTAGCAGTAATAGAAAGAGAAAGCTTTCACTTTGTATGTGTGTTCATA